GATTGGACAGCGTCTCACACCTGTAATCCCAGCACTTTGGGAGGCTGAGGCAGGTGGATCACCTGAGGTCAGGAGTTCAAGACCAGCCTGGCCAACACAGAGAAACCCCATCTCTACTAAAAATACAAAACTTAGCTGGGTGTGTTAGTGGGCACCTGTAATCCCAGCTACTCAGGAGGCTGAGGCAGGAGAATCACTCGAACCAGGAAGGTAGATGTTGCAGTGAGCCGTGATCGCGCCACTGCACTCCAGCTTGGGCAACAGAGTGAAACTCTGTCTCAGGGAAAAAACAACAAAACAAAATGAGAGATTGGACATACCAGTCCAAAGTGGTCTGAGTTCTTAAATCCAGATGAGGAATTCACTCTTCTTTTTGCTCTGGACGTAAGGGGGCATTGGACTTTAGTGAGACCAGAGACCAGGCTGATCTCTCCTGTAGGCTGTTAATTCAGTGGGAACCTATTTCGAAGAATAAAAGCCTTCAAAGAGTTGCGGCAGTTCTGGGGGTAGGCTCAGAAGCGTGCATAGATCAGGTATAACTGGAACTTAGAATTTACGTCTGCCTTTGAATGGACTTCTCACTTCCTCTCATGCCCAAGCTGGCCTTTCATCCCTGAGAGGCTGGTCATGTGCTGGCCTCCTCCAGCTCCTGCGTCAGGTCTGTAAACCAGAGCTAGTTCTCTCATGGCCTTTGTCACAATACCAGGATACGGAGAGGAGCCCAGGGGGCCATCCACACCCACCCCATGGTAAAGAGCTTGCCTGGTGTTTAGTCATTATTTAGTTTCCAGGCCAACCATCCAGGTAGAGGTTCCCCGTTTCCGTTCAGCAGCACTCTCAAGAGCCCCGCACCTGTCCACAGTGACCTAGAGCGCATCCTGCTCACTGTCAGTGTAGCCCCGTGCCCCCATATTCATCCAGGATACTTGGAACTGCTAAAACAGGAAGGGATTCGTCTTTCAGCTTTGCTGCCATCTTCCCTGAAGCAGGAAGATGAACATGGACTTAAACGTCCTTTGAACAAAACCAAAGTTTTAAGATTTGCTGTGTGATGAAGTGACAGAGAGGGCCAGAGTCAGCAGGTGCCAGACTTTCTGTTCCATCTGCCATGGGTTTGTCCAGCTTGGGTAGCAGCTCTAGGAGCACCATCCTGCCCTAGCAGAGCCCAGGCCTTGCCCTCACGAAGCATCATTGATATAGCAGGAGCATGTTAATTTCTGGGTTATGTTGCATTATAATAACAATAAGTCAGAACATTAATTCAAAACAACTTGCAGTATGCATTTCTTCACACCAGTACATTCTTAAGTGTACTTGTTTATAAGGAATAACATAAACTAATCTGTACCTTTATATATATGTGTGTGTGTACATATATACATGTATAAACTGTATAGTGTACATGGTAATGATTTATTGCTATGCCCCAGATCCTTAATGTAGTTCTCATCCTCCGCATGCCCTCAGCCACGAGCGGATGACTGACTCTTCCTTGATTTGGCCCACCTCCTGTGTTTGGACCTCTAGAGAGGAGGGTTTTAGTCATACTCTCCTTATCTTCGTGCACAGAAATGCTCAGGGTCCCCATGTGCCTGTTGTTCAACCCTCTCCTCTCTCGTTCCCTTTCTGAGCATGTGGTCCTTCCCCAAGCTGTGGGACAGCTGCCTTCCTACGAAAGTGTGAAGCAGTATTAAGATCATTACTGCATGTGCCCTAAAAACCCAAGTTTTCTATTCCCTTGGGACAGAAAATTGCATGTGAGGTGGGATAATCAAGTTTCAGTGATCCACGTCGGTTACACATTAAAGCCAGACCCCATAATTCCACAAAATGGAAATAAAACTCAAATTTCTTTAGCATTGTGTAAATAAATCCAAATGTGTTTAACTTTGTACTGGTAATTTTCTGTATATTTGCAATATTTGGGTTAAAAATAAAACAGACTGGACTTTGTTATCTGACCTACTGAAATGACTAAGCTACAGTTTGTTAATATACTTTTTTCAGTTTTCCAGCTTCAGAATCAGACTCCAGCAACCAGAGAATAGGCCAGTTAAAGAGCCAGGACTAGGCCGGGCGCGGTGGCTCACGCCTATAATCCCAGCACTTTGGGAGGCCGAAACAGGTGGATCACGAGGTCAAGAGATCGAAACCATCCTGGTCAACATGGTGAAACCCCGTCTCTACTCAAAATACAAAAATTAGCTGGGCATGGTGGCGCATGCCTGTAGTCCCAGCTACTCGGGAGGCTTACACAGGAGAATTGCTTGAACCCAGGAGATGGAGGTTGCGGTGAGCCGAGATCACGCCATTGCACTCCAGCCTGGGTAACACGAGCGAAACTCTGTCTCAAAAAAAAAAAAAAAGGCCAAGACTGTACATTCATAGCGTGAAATGTATTGGATCATCTATGAGGAGAATAGCTCACATTTTTGTGAGCTGTTTTCCCCATAAATTACCTAATTTTATCGTTCTTCATTTTCTTGCTCTTTGTACTCGTACACATCCTCCTCCTCTCCGTGTGTGTACGACTAGCTTTCTTGTTCTGCCTCCTAGGATGTCTAGGTACGCATCCGACATACCTTCACAGGTTTCAGTTGCTATACTGTTCCTTCTGGACACAGCAACAGATAATTACTCCTTGAATTCTGTGTTCTTTTGAGCAGGTTTGACACCTGGCCGCACTGAGAAAGAAGTTCAGCCTTGTAATTTCCCATCTGCCCCTCTTACGTTTGTCTTGCTGCTCTTATGGGCCCTATCTCCTCCATTTCATTTAAGGACCTTTGGAGAGTTGCAGCCTTCCTCTCTTGCAAAGCGTTTAAGAGACATTGCTGCCTACCTGTCTGGAGCCTTTAGCCATCCTACCCTGCCAGCCTGGGGCAATATTCCATGTAGCACTCTGGCATCTTGGTCTGAAGATGACAGGGCAGAGTCCTTGTTCTTGAGGCCACCATCTGATGGGAGAGTTCCTACCCAGGACATTATCTAAGGTGGTTGTTTTGTTTGAAGGAATTCTATTTAACATGGTATTCTTAAGATGTCCTGTGCCAGAATCACTGGATTGGTTTTCTTAAATGCACATTTCTGAATTCCACCCCAGACTTATGGAATTAGACTTTCTGAAATGCAAACCTTAGGAATCTGCATCTTAAAGTTGATTCTTTACACCTTCGTTTCAACAAAGGGCTAAGACTCAGCCTGAGCCAATTTTCTCTCCAAAAGATGGGTTACAAGTGTTGTGTAAAAGGGGGTGTATTTGGGGTCTCCTGGCCAGGGAGCTGTCCACACTTAACGGGGTCTTGGCTGAGGTCAAGCAAGAGAAATAGTTCAGAAAGACCTTCAAACCAGTTCTGATATGGTAAAAACAGTCTTCAATCAAACTAGCCCCATAGGCCATCCAAGGCCCCATTAAACAGATTCTCCTAAACCTCAACCCCTATACCAGCTACAAAGAGGCTGAGCTGTGACCCCAAGATAACACAGGCTCCTGGGATCTTATCAATTACCGCAAAATTCAGGGGGCAAAAGTGAGTAAGAAGCCCATTCCTTCAATTGCACCCGTTTTTGGGGGTTTTTTGTTTGTTTGTTTGTTTTCCATGATAAAAATACCAATGTGGAAAGGGAGCTATGGGAACCCTGCGCTTTGCACTTAACTTTAACGTGACTGTAAAACTGCTCTAAAATTCAAGCATTTTACAATGCAGAAGGGATGGTGGCTTCTGGAGATAAGAAGGTAGAAGTCAGCCGGGCGCGGTGGCTCACGCCTGTAATCCCAGCACTTTGGGAGGCCGAGGCGGGTGGATCACGAGGTCAAGAGATCGAGACCATCCCGGTCAATATGGTGAAACCCCATCTCTACTAAAAATACAAAAAATTAGCTGGGCATGGTGGCTCATGCCTGTAATCCCAGCTACTCAGGAGGCTGAGGCAGGAGAATTGCCTGAACCCAGGAGGCGGAGGTTGCAGTGAGCCAAGATCGTGCCATTGCACTCCAGCCTGGGTAACGAGAGCAAAACTCTGTCTCAAAAAAAAAAGAAGAAGGTAAGGAGTACGATGGGAAAGCAGCAGTGTCGGCAGCATGTACAACGCGTGTAGAAAGATGGTTTGCTAAGCCTGGAAATCATGTAGGACCTGTAGTATGTGACTAGCACCTGCTGTGAGCTGGCCGCTTTCCTATACTTTTTATTTCATCCTCAACACAAGGGATGATGGCATCCCTTGTTTCATAGACCGGGACCTGAGCCCGAGTCAGAGATTTGCCCAGAGTCCCAGCTGGTGAGCGAGTGGTACAGCCAGGAGTCACACGCAGGTCCTCTGAGCTCGCCTCCCTCCACCACTGCTGCCTCTCCTTTTATTTGTACTTCACCTCATAGGCAAGGCAGCCATTGACAGCTCTCAAAGGGAGAAGTGCTGGCCTGACCTAAAAATAGCTTACATTTATCAAGCACTTAGTCGGCTACACTCTGCTAAGCACTTTACAGAGATTACCTCTTTAATCCTCACAACGACCCTATGGTTATAATTATCTCCATTTTACAGATGAGGAAACAGACTGAAGAGAGACTGTGATGTGGTGTGAGCCACACGGCTAGCTGGTGACAGAGCCCAAGTGGCACCGCAGTCAGTGCGAGTGCAGTCTCCACCTACCACTGTGCTGTGCCCGCTGCCCCCAGGGAGTGGGGGAGGATGACACAGGCCCTGTAAAGGTCGGGTTGATAAGACTTTACAACTCATTGAATGTGGGAGCAGAGGGAGAAAGAGCAGTTCGGGCTTTGCTGTGAGTCAGCTAATCCTGGGTCCCTTCTTTGGGACGTGAATGCCCTGTGGGATGAACTGGAGGTCAGGAGCAGAGATGTCACTCAACCCTCGCAACAGAAATCAGAGGCCCCTTTTGGATGGATGGTCTGTGTTCAAGCTCTCCCTCCCTCCCTGGTGCTGTCGGGGGTGTCATCTCTCTCCCAAGATAACAGCGCCACCTCAGTCCTCCTCCTAGAGCTATTCTGGGCTGCTCTCTGATCCTCCTCTCTCCCCCAGCCCCTTCTTCAGCCCTTCTGCTGGGCGTAGCTGACTGGGGAAAGCCAGCCCAGTTACATAACCCTGTGGCTGGGACCCGGGAGGCCAGCCTGGGGAGCAGGTGCTCAGCCCCTCCCTCATCACCAGCAGTGAAAATCTTTAGCTGGAGCCCAGCCTCTGGGAAGGCCCAGCATGGAGGCAGCCACAGCTCCGGAGGTGGCTGCGGGATCCAAGCTGAAGGTGAAAGAAGCCAGCCCAGTGGATGCTGAAGGACCCCAGGCTTCACCTGGACAGGGCGTTGGCAGCCCCACTCCCCAGCTCCTGCCCCCTATAGAAGGTGACCCATGGCGTGTGGGGAGGGTGGGAGGCCGCGTGGTGGGGGTTGGGGAGGATGTCGCCACCTTCCTTACAGTACCTCAGGTTTTTTGCAGAACTAAAGACTTTATGGGATTGGTGCTTAGGATGGAGATAATTTGTGGGAGCCCTATCCCCCGTCCTTGATGGAGTCTGACTTGTGGCTTAAAGGTCCCTGTTAGGTTTTTGTGTTTTAGCTGAGAAGTCAGTGATGGTGTTGGTGGCACTTTACAGTCACTAAAAATGATCTGTTTATATTTCTGCCTTTTAAAAACTTGTTCGCAGGGACTGGGAGGACCTGACATACTAATGGCCAGTCAGGAAGGGACTGAGGGGTGAGAGAGTGGCTGTCAGCAGGGAACAGGGAAATCAAAAGCTGTGGCAACGGGGAGGCTAACGGTGGTGCGGCACAGTGACACTTGGTCTCCTGCTTGGCTGGGCCATGGGGTCAGGACCTCCTCCAACCTCCACTGCTCCCATGGGAGAGCCTGACCCCTCACAGTCTGAGCTCCACAGAAGTGGAGCCCTCCTGAGAGAAGCATTCCGTTTCCCCTTCGTGATGGTCTCTGTGTACCTCTCAGCGAAGAGGTGTTCCCAAGTGAGGAGGTGGTTGGCACGCGTTCCAGCCTTGGGCTTCCTGCTGCCCATCCCCGAATGCCCTGGCTGAGGCCTCTGTAGCTAACCACTTCGTGGCGCTCACCTGGAATCTTAAGTGAAGAGGGTGAAAAAATCTCAAACAAGAAACACATGGACTCCCAGGGTGGGAAGCAGTAGGGGGAAAGATGTACTAGACTTGGAGGCAAAGCTCTAGACTCGGTTCCTAGTGCTGCCTCTAACAGCCCTGTGACCTTGGACAAGGCACTGAACTAATCAGTTTCAATCTTCGCTCTGTAAAATGGTGATTAATAACCTCTACCTATCAGGGTAGTTGAAAGGATTGCTGAGATGATCCAAAGTGCCTTGGAAGAGGCCAAACTAAGATGTAAATATGTGATCAAATATTTCCAAGTGAGGGGTGAAGGCTGAGTTCTACTTCCATAACGTTGTGCAGCGGAGGCTCTTTGCCTCTTATCCCATGAGAGAGGAGGGTTTTCAGAAACTGTTTGAATGTCAAGGGCAGAGAGCTGGCCAAGTTTGTCTTATTGAAGATGAAGGGAGCAGACGTTAGTGTGAATATATTAAGCTGAGGAGACTGAGGCAGAAAACCGGTTTCTTCCCTCAAAAGGCCCAGAGAATAAGGGACAGGCAGCAGGAGAATGAGAGCCAGGACTGCTAAAGCCTTGACTCCCTGTACTGGTCTCCCCAAAACCCTAAAGGAGGGCATTCATCTCCCTCATGCTTTTCCCCTCTGGCTGCAGCCAGCTCCCGACAGCCCCCAGCCACGGTCCCACAAATGCAGCCCAAAGCCCCTTGTGTGCGGCAGCTCTGGACACTGCAGGCCTCAGGGCCACTAGCCCCAGTGGCTCAACCTAGTGGTATCCCAGATGTCACCGGCAGTAAGAACACCTTTGAATACTTTGCAAAATATATGTGCATCTGTTAACTACTTGGAAAAAAGAAGTCATGAGTTCAAATATTAGCTCTGTTCTGTGGCTCTAGGCAAGGCAGTCCACTCCCATTTTCTCATCTGTAAATTGAGGACTTTAACTAAATCAGGGTCTTAACCTTTTGGTGGATATGAACCCCTAGGAAAATCTAATGAGAGCTATGGACTCTTGACCTGGGAAAAATACACACAAAAAAAGTTCAGAGAGTCTACAGAGCCCCAAACCCCCTACAAAGATCCTGCAGGGTGCCATGGCCTGGACAAGATGACTCCTGAGCCCCCTGAGAGCTCCAAAGCCTTTCTTCCTCCTAACTCCTCTTTCTTAAGAGAGCTCTGGACTGAGGGAGTATTGCAGTGGGCATGTGAAAACATGGGAACTAGAGCAGGCATCAGAAATAGAAATTAATTTGCAAGATCAAAACAAACTACAAATGGCCAACAATGAGCTTTTAGTTTGGCAAGCCTGCTACATGGCTAAATAAGCAGGAGTAGGTGGCCAGCACTGGTAAACAGCTCGATGTCTGTCCTCAGCACTACACTGAGGCACTGTGTCCTGGAGACAAAGCTTGGCAGGGGCTAGAGGAGAGCTTCCAAAACAGGGAGAGGCTGGCGAACAAGCTGCATCCCTCCCATGGAGAAGGTGAGACCAAGACCCTGAGGTGGAGGAGGGAGAGCCCATCTCTCCCTGACTTCAGCATAGTCGCTCCAACTGACTGTGTGTTCTCTTTTAATCTGAACTGTTCTGTGTCTTTCAGGCATGAAAAGCTGAATCTCATGCCTAGGAGTGACCTTCCTTTCCTCCTCCTCCTTTCCGCAAATATGTAGGTTGTGCCTGTGATGTGCCAGGTGCCCTTCTAGGTGCCAACATTACAGAAATGAACAAAATAAGTAAAAATAACTGCCCTCATGGAAGTTAGATTCTAGCAGAGGGAGCTAGCCAATAAATAGGTAAAATAGCTAATATGTCAGATGGTGAGAAATGCTGTGCCAAACTAGAGCAAGGAAGGAGATGGCACGTGCTGCAGGGAGGAAGCATGCAAGCCTCTTGCTTCAAATAGAATATTCAGTGAGCACCTCACTCATAAGATATTTGAGCAGCAGCTTAAAGGAAGTGAGAGAGCAATGCATGCAGATATTTGGGGGAAAATCTTCCACGCAGAGAGAATAACCGCAAAGCCCCTGGGGCAAGAGTGTGCCTTATGGGTTGGGGCCATTGTGGCTGTAGCACAGAGAGGGAGACAATGGCAGTATTTTGGTCCAAGAGGTAGCAAGGCAAGAAGTAGCAGGTAGTTGCCTATGAGACGGACGGCCAGCCAGTGCAGGGACTGGGAGTAAGGACTGACAGGACCAAGTGTAGATTTATTTTTTTTTTTTTAAGTTGCAGTCTCGCTGTGTTGCCAGGCTGGAGCGCAGTGGCACGCTCTCAGCTCACTACAACCTCTACCTCCCAGGTTCAAGTGATTATCCTGCCTCAGCCTCCTGAGCAGCTGGGACTAGAGGCGTGCCACCACGCCCAACTAATTTTTGTATTTTTAGTGGAGGCGGGGTTTCACCATGTTGGCCAGGATAGTCTCAATCTCCTGACATCGCCATCTGCCCACCTCAGCCTCCCAAAGTGCCGGGACTACAGGCATGAGCCACTGTGCTCAGCCCAAAGTGTAGATGTTAAGGATTTTTCCAGCTGGCTGTGTTGGAATAGACTGTAGGCGGGCCTTAGACACAGCAAGATCAACAACTGGGAATGAGAATGAGGGAGAAGGTAGGGAGGTTTTGGAAGAGGAAGGAGTGCAATGGCCACCCAGGAGAATGAGAGACTGAGTGAACTCAGGAAGTCTAGTAGAACTGCCAGGGTCCACTTGGAGGTGGTAGTCACTATTAATGGCCCTCAAGTTAAAGTCCACAGAATTTTGTATTTCCTCCCAGTCCTGCTATTCTGTGCAGATACAGGCACTGAGTGGGTGGGAAGTTTATTTAACCAGGGTTAGGTATTGCCAGAAGAGTGCAATGAAGTCAAAGCAGATTAAGGGATTTGAGTCAGTGCAAGAGAGAGATATAATAACGACTGTGTAATCTAAGTTGGGTGGTGAAGAAGAAAGTGCTAACATGAAAAGGTGCTAGGTAGTGAGAGGGTGGTAGGATAATGATCACAGACCTCAGTGATGCCAAAGAATTGCTGGTGTTGGAGCATGAGAGGAAGTGAGCTAAAGGGATAAAGATTGTATTAGCTAGGTATACTAATGGATACTTGTCCTCTCCTAGTTCAGCCACTGGTCCTCGTGGCCATTCTCTAGACCAAGAGCTACAATCCTTCTATGACCAGAATTACAAGCATCTCACTATCTCATCACCACCTCGAACAGAGGTGGCTAGCTAGCCACCAAAATGTATGTCACCCCTTCTGTAGTGTAGCTATCTCTGAGATGTGGCTGCCTGGACAGCTTGCCGGATGGCCATGAGACTAGTTCTTGCTAACAACACATGAGTGGCAATGGTGAGACTCACTTCTGGTCCCAGAAGTTACATTTCTTCAAATATATGTCAGGAATGACAGATGTCACATTTTGGTGGCCAGTTAGCCATCTGTTACAGAGGTGGTGATGAGACAGTGGGATGCTTGTAATTCTGATCATAGAAGGATTGTAGCTCTTAATCAAATAGGTCTCGGGAATGACAGATGTCTATTTCTCACTAGCATAAGAACTAAAAACAATTATATTGCACAGATAGTTCTCCTCCATGCGGTAATTCAGGGACCCAGGCCGCTTTCATCTTGGGCTCTGCCATTCCTTAGGGCCCCATGATCATCTGCGTATGGCTAGCAGAAGAGGAAAATAAAAATGCAGCTTCTTCAGAGCCTGGGACCAGAGGTGATTCTCACCATTGCCACTCACATGTCATTGGCAAGAACTAGTCTCATGGACATCCAGCAAGGCAGCTGGGCCGCCATGTCTCAGAGGTAGTGACACTACGGAATGTTCTGGTGACCAGTTAGCCATCTCTGTTATAGAGGTGGTGATGAGACAATGGGATGCTTATAATTCTGATCATAGAAGGACTGTAGCTCTTGGTCTAGAGAATGACCACGAGGACCAGTGGCTGAATTAGGAGAGGACAAAGTTATTAGAGGAATGGTGGGCTGGATGTGAGGTGCCCCATAGGGACTGGAAACATAGGTGTTGACACCAGCAGGAGTTATGCCTGTAGCAGTGTTGGAGAGGCGATGAGCCAGGGCTAACACCATCAAGCACTAGGGGGACGACGGTAAGGCAGGGAGGGGGAGTAGAGTCGCTTCCTCAGAGAAGTGTTTCCTGTTCCTATGTCCTTTTATTTTTTCTGACCTTAGTTTTATGGTCTTCAAGAAAGTGACACTCTCGCCCCACTCCTTTGCCATTGCACGCCTCCAGACGGGTTTCTGAGTAGGCCAAGGCCACATCCTCGGCGTCTGCTAATGTTTCTCTAAGAAATCCTGGTACTTCTTAGATTCCTGGAAACCTCTAGATAGTTTAAAAGTTATAGCTAGCCTCCTGAATTTACCCTCTTTTAGTGACCCTTCACCCACGTAGGCACTCACTCTCTCTCACACACACACACACACCATTCACACATATACATGTAAACACATTCATACGTTCACACACACACACACACACATGCATATACATACACACACACTCATACACACACATACACCATTCACACACACATACACGTAAACACATTCACACACACATACATACACACACATGTACACATACACATACACAGTCATACACACACACACACATGCATATACATACACACTCAAACACACACACACACCATTCACACACAAATACACACACACACACACACACACACACACACACCCTCCCCACTCCTCCAATGCTTCCATCTTGATTCTTGGCGCTCCAGGCCATAGCTAGTAACATCGGTCCAAACGATGGAGAAGGTAAGCCTCTGGAGAAAGACTCTGATCCCATAAATGGGAATTATGAAAGGATATGAACAGTTATAGAATAAGAAAATGGGCGTAAACATTAGCAGGATAAAAGCAGGGTAGGTATTAGGAGGAATTTTCTAATCAGAAGTCAAGATCACTGGACTTGAAGTAGTTTTCTCTGATAATTTTTGAGAAAGAATTAGCAGTGTGTCTAAGAGACATGTCATGCTGGGAGCAGGCGGGTCACAACCAAAGGCCCTCAAAGGACTTTTCAAGATGCCTTTTCTCTAAGACCCTATGAAGGAAGAAAACCAAACTGTGACTGTGACAGACCTGCTCTTAGAAAACCTAGGCTCTTAAAGGCTCTAGGCTTTGGTTCACATCCCTCCTGGCATCCAAGGAGGAGAAAGACCTCGGGCATCAGGGGAAGCCATGCCTCCCCAAGGTCAGGACAATTTACACCTCACTTGACTGCGGATGTGTGAAAAGAGATGCCTCCCCCGGCATTAACTTTCTTAGCAAAGAGTCAGATTGCGCCTGGGTTGGTTTGGGAGGCGATTGGAGAGCGCGCTGCTGACCTGCTGACCGGGCATCTGAAGCTATCACACTCTCTCCTGCCACCTCTGCACATAGTCAGCTTCGTTAGCCTCACGCCCATCCTCTGCCCTCCCACAGGGAGCCAGGAGCCTGCTGGGAGCAGAGGGCTCACCTACTCATCCTCTAAGTCCATTCTAGAGACTTTTGTTTTGTTTTGTTTTGTTTTTTTGTTTTTTGTTTTTTTGAGACGGAGTTTCACTCTTGTTACCCAGGCTGGAGTGCAATGGCGCGATCTCAGCTCACCGCAACCTCCGCCTCCTGGGTTCAGGCAATTCTCCTGCCTCAGCCTCCTGAGTAGCTGGGATTACAGGCATGTGCCACCATGCCCAGCTAATTTTTTTTTTTTTTTGTATTTTTAGTAGAGACGGGGTTTCACCATGTTGACCAGGATGGTCTCAATCTCTTGACCTCGTGATCCACCCGCCTCGGCCTCCCAAAGTGCTGGGATTACAGGCTTGAGCCACCGCGCCCAGACTTTTTTTTTTTTTTTAAAGATTGGGTTTTACCATGATGACCAGGCTGGTCTCGAACTCTTGACCTCAGGTGATCCACCCACCTCGGCCTCCCAAAGTGCTAGGATTACAGGCGTGAGCCACTGCACCCAGCCTCATTCTAGAGACTTAAGTTTCATCATCTCATCAGGAAACCCACTGATGAGCAGAGAACCAGCATTGGACCCGTCCAGGGAGGGAGAGACCGCCGTCTCCGCCGGCAGCCTCTTTCCTCACTCTCTCTGCCCAGCTAGGATCCCCTCTGGATCTCAAGGGCCAGTCTGCTCCTCTTCCCCTAACTCCCCCACCTTAGCTTATGTTCCACATAACCCCATTTCTTTCATTTTTCTCTTTATTTCAGGTGTAAGAATGCCAACATTTTCCAAGGTGTTTTTCTTTTCTTTTTTTTTTTTTTTTTTTTTTTGAGATGGAGTTTTTTGCTCTTGTTGCCCAGGCTGGAGTGCAATGATGCGATCTCGGCTCACTGCAACCTCCACCACCCAGTCAAGCGATTCTCCTGCCTCGGCCTCCTGAGTAGCTGGGATTACAGGCATGCGCCACCATGCCCAGCTACTTTGTATTTTTAGTAGAGACGGAGTTTCACTATGTTGGTCAGGCTGGTCTCAAACTCCCAACCTCAAGTGATCTGCCCGCCTCGGCCTCCCAAAGTGCTGGGATTACATACCCAGCCCCAAGGTGTTTTTCTAAGAAACAAACGCTAGGTGAAGACACATACATCAGCTCACAGCTACCCATAAGAGCCCATTCCCTACCTGAGGTCTTGGCAGGGCAGGGTTCAGTGGGCACCTCTGCCAGGCGTGAAGGCCTGGGCTCCTCTCCCCACCTCAACCCTTTGCGGTCCTTGGGTATGTCTAGCCCTGCCTTCCCTCTGAGCCTCCTCCCTCCGGGGGCAGGCCACTGTCTGAGCCCTGATTTGGTGCTCAGTGCTGGGTGGACGCTGGCAGGCAGGACACAGGTCATGCTTTGAGAATGGGTCCTTCAGACACACAATCCTAAATGGGGAAGCAGGAGTCTCAGGTGCCAGGCACATCGTCGCTGCTAGCCGGGAGGTCTCCAGAACACTGGCTTCTCTCTCAGAGCCCTCTTGCTCCAGCGTCCTTCTTCTGGTGCTTGTAGGCCCTTCCCAACGCCGACTTTCTGTAGGCAGGCAACGAAGGGACAGCAGAGCCACCTTCTCTCCAGCCCTCTCCCTGGCAAATGTAAGAAGGGTTCTTTCCTCCCCCAGCAGTGGGGAACCAAGCCCAACAAGATGAGGTTTTGACCCTCCTTTCCAAGCACGGCCCTCTTTTTCAAAACACTTATGACTTAAGGTCATATCCTGCCTGTTTTCAACTCCTTGGTTGCTTGCCAAGATGGCCACAGGAGAGGAGCCCATCACACAAACGCTGCTTCTGTTCCTTATGCCCCGCCCCTCCCAAGCCGCCAGAGCCCAACCGGGGGCAGCCGCAGCAGGGTCACTCAGCTCCCTGGGGCTGCTGTATCTGTGCTGAGGCAGTCAAGGCCCGAGCAGGGCACAGAGGATGGCACACAGGCCTGTCAAGGCCTCTCATCATGTATTCCTAGGTGCGGTCTAAGACAAGCACAGCCCAGGCGAAAATGTAAGCCACACAGCAGAAAAGGAAACTGCAGAAATAAAACGGACTATGTGCGCTGTATATTGCTATTGATCTTCATCTGCAAAAGTCTCGCGACCTTGAGATTATCATGGGAAGATTCTGGGAGTGAAGTTCTCCGGACAACACTCTGACGATTGAGCTGGAGGAAGAACACGGTAGAACCTCTGTTTCGGTTGCATCGCTTACGTGTATGTGTTACGTAATATACATATTTAAACGGTTCATCCATAAGTGAGCATACATATGTCGTAGTGAATGCTCAGGGAAGTATTTTCACAGAAGTGTGCCTTATCAAAGAGTCTGGAATCCACTATCAAGCAGTCATGCTGTTTGCCACAGGAATGTACCAGGGGTGAAGTTCTTCCAGCTGCCAAGAATGAACTGTCACAGGGAGTCTGGGTTGTTGGGAACTGAAGCACTGTCACATTCTACTGAAGACAACAGCCAGGCAGCTGCCTCTGCCTGAGAAAGCGGGAGGCAGCAGTCAGGAAAAGGCTAGAAAATGGCGTCCATCTCAGCCAGGCCCCCAGGGAACCTAGAGGGAATATTTGTGCTTTGGCAGCCAAGACAGTGTGAGGCATCCCGAGAGGAAAGAAATGACACCTGGTCATTCTCCAAACCTACACTCAGCACTTTTCCAGCATCTCCTGTCTTCATCCTGGAAGCCCATGCACGCCGTCTGAGCTCCACTTCTCACCGGGACAGGCCCGTGAGATCGAGGCGAAATGGGCAGTGGACCTGGTCTGTGCCAGAATCTGTTTGTACAGAGTGATCCTCCGCAGACTGAGAGAAGACTGCAAAGGTGCCCGGGAGCAGAGTGGCCATGCAGGGTGAGGGACCTAGACGCGCTCCCTCTGCAGTGATGTCAGTGGTGTCTCTGTGGGCGGCCGGGCAGGCCAGGGTGTTGACTCTGCGTGCAGAATGCAGCGCATTCTCCCAAGCCTCCTACCTAACTGGGAGGTCAGGATTAACATGAAAAGTGGCCGTGACGAAAGGAAAGGTAAGGGCAAGTGTAGAAAAGGGGTGGAAAGGCGAACCCCACCGACGAGGCTGGTCTGTACACAAGCAGAAAAATAAAAATGCCTCCATCAGGATGGAATGCCTCCAGATGATGGAAAGTCAGCATTTGTGAGTTACAAATTAAAAGAAGTGTCTGTCGTTCCTTAAGCCAACCCCTCATCCCCAAATCCCAGCAGGATGATGGGAGCACTCTTCCCTTTCCCTCTGAGAAGGGCTTAATTTGGTGACTGACTCCTGGATCACCCACCCACAGCAGGCAGCTGGATGCAGGATTTGCTTTCTCTGGGTATACATTTCCTTTTCTCTCTCTTTCCATCATTCAGAGCACCCCAAGATCTGGCTACCTCGGGCCCTGAGGCAGACCTACATCCGGAAGGTTGGGGACACAGTGAACCTACTAATCCCATTCCAGGTGATCATGCCAGCCCCACACTCGGTCTATGTCTGAGGCCAGCCCAGGCTTTGGATTTGGAAACAGATACTAAGAGTCCTACTAGCAGAGGGGCAATCTTCCCACCCTTGGATAGAACGGGTCACGCCACCAGAAGTCTGAGGCCAAATGACCTCTGCACTCCAGAGGGTGGGTTTGCATAGGACTAGGTGTGCCCCATGAGATGGTGTGAGGTGAATCCATGCCCTTTAGTCTGCAGAGGCCTGGGAGCTTGAGATTAGGAGAGTTCTTAGGAGTTTGAGTAGCTGTTGAGTCGGTCCCCGCTGCCTCGGGTGTCCATGATGTAAGCTCTCAGAGGTTGGGAGACTCAACACCATCTCTCTTTCCCAAGATCCTTAGGCTGTTGCTGAAAGGAGGAAGCCCCCAGGAGGGTCCACCAACTTCTAACTCAAGGAATGTGCAGCTCCAAGTCAAGCCTCCCTGTGAACCTGGGGTGGACGGGACCCCTACAGCAGCAGGGAAAGTCAAGAAGCCTCTCGGGGCTGCTCAAAGCGTTACTCTCGTTCCTCAGGGCAAGCCCAAACCTCAAGCCACCTGGACACACAATGGCTGTGCCTTGGACACCAGCCGAGTGAGCGTGCGGAATGGGGAGCGAGACTCCATCCTCTTCATCCGAGAAGCCCAACGTGCTGACTCAGGTCGCTACCAACTCCGTGTCCAGCTAGGCGGGCTGGAGGCCACAGCCACCATTGACATCCTGGTGATTGGTACGGTGAGGGGAGTGGGACATTGGGGGGCGGTCCTCAGGAACTCCCTCTCCAGGCTGAAGAGGAGCCAGCTGAGAGAGCTGGGGAAGCTGGGACAAGGCCCCCACCTTGTATCTGGGACACAGGGTTGGTGCAGAAGGGGTAGCTAGCAGGAAAAGGGGCCGGGGCACTCCTGAGGTGACTTTAATGCATGTGGGCTGTTCCGCACCCACTGCCATAGCTTTGCCCTTTCAGAGAGGCCAGGTCCTCCTCAGAGTATTAAGCTAGTGGACGTCTGGGGCTTCAACGCTACCCTGGAATGGACACCGCCCCAAGATACAGGCAACACAGCACTCCTGGGATACACGGTGCAGAAGGCTGACACAAAATCTGGGGTGAGGCCAGCTGGGAAGGAAGGAGGGTGGAAGAGGGCATGCTGGAAAGGGCCTGTGCCAGCTCCATGTCGGGTGGCTGATTTGTGGCATCATGTCGGGGCCCCGCAGCTGTGGTTCACAGTGCTGGAGCACTATCACCGCACCAGCTGCATTGTCTCTGACCTCATCATCGGCAACTCCTATGCCTTCCGTGTCTTTGCTGAAAACCAGTGCGGACTCAGTGAAACAGCCCCCATCACCACTGACCTCGCCCACATCCAGAAAGCAGGTAAGGAGGGCATGGGGACTGTGAGCTGGGAAGACTTAAGGATAGGCCGGGCACAGTGGCTCACGATAATCCCAGCACTTTGGGAGGCTGAGGCGGGCGGATCACCTGAGGTCAGGAGTTCAAGAGCAGCCTGGCCAACATAGTGAAACCTCATCTCTACTAAAAATAGAAAAATTAGCCAGGCATGATGGTGCATGCCTGTAATCCCAGCTCCTCAGGAGGCTGAGGCAGGAGAATTGCTTGAATTAGAGAGGTGGAGGTTGCAGTGAGCCAAGATCACACCACTGCACTCCAGCCTGGGCAATAGAGTGAGACTCCATCTCAGAAAAAAAAAAAAAAAAAAAAAAAAGACTTACGAGTAAAGAGTCGACGAGGGCTGGGATCGCAGAAGCTACATCCTGGCCCCTCTTGGTGCCCTCAGCTACTGTTTACAAGACCAAGGGGTTTGCCCAGCGAGACTTTTCTGAAGCCCCAAAGTTTACCCAGCCTCTGGCCGACTGCACTACAGTCACTGGCTATAACACCCAGCTCTTCTGCTGTGTCCGTGCCTCTCCTCGGGTGAGTGGGGGTTCTAGGGGGTGCTGTGCTGAGCTGCTTCCTGTTCCTGCCTGTCCTAACCTAAGCTGAGTTGCAGAGCATTGTAACATAACATCTGTTACCATCACCGCCATCTGCCTCTTCAACAGCACGGTATTTAGGAACAGTTGGGGTAGCTAGAGTCCAAGACGGACTGATGAGAATGACATTTCCTTTCGAGTGTTTGTTCCTCATATATGAAGATGTTGCTTACTGACCTGCTGGCAATTAGGCATGCGCTTCAAGTTGTTTCTCTGGTGGGAGTGACGGTGTCCTGGTGCTTTCTCCTTACCTATCTGTACCTCATCCAATCAGGGCTGTGCACATGCAAACTGCCTAGAGTTCAGCCTTTGGCAACAACCCTGAGCAAGACCTCTCTGTTTACAATCTAGTCATCATGCTCCGCACACAGACTTAAACACCATTAACAACCTGTACCAAGAACCTTCTGAGTTTTGAGTCTGGGCCAGACTATATGGAGATAACATCTCAGAAGGGGTATATCAATAGCCCACTCTAGAAACTATTCTCTGACCAGAGGCGACAGAGGCAACTCATAAGTGAGCAGTGGGGATAGAATACAAATGATTCACAAGAGGAGAGCCCGATGCTCAGTGCTTCTGAGCCCTGAAGGGGCTGCCTGAGAGCATGGAACAGAAATTAGCAGTTTTCTTCCAGTCAGAAATATTGGGGAAGAAAGTGAGGTTTCTGGTGCATTTTCAACCAAGAGAAGGAGCTTAAGGGACTGCGAGGTACAGGAAGGGGAACCCCTCTCCACAATGTAAGGAACAGGAAGCTCTCTAGAAAGCCATTATCTATACATGGACAGAGTCCCAGAGACTGAGCGCAGAAAGACCATTGGTTCTTTGAGTCTGGGCCAGACTACATGGAGATAACATCTCCTCCTTGCTGCCTCCCTCATCTTTGTCTTCCAGCCCAAGATCATCTGGCTGAAGAACAAGATGGATATCCAAGGCAACCCTAAGTACAGAGCCCTGACTCACCTGGGGATCTGCTCCCTAGAGATCCGCAAGCCTGGTCCCTTTGATGGAGGCATCTATACCTGCAAGGCAGTGAACCCCTTAGGGGAGGCATCTGTGGACTGTCGGGTGGATGTGAAAGGTAAAGGCAAGAGGAGAATTAGCGCCTTAGGCTACTGGTCACCTCTCTCCACTGTGGAAGAGTCAAGGGCCAGAGATGCTAGTCTAGGTAGAGAAGGGATTTCCTTGCTGGACACTCTCATCACTGTCATCATTAGGATGTATTGGAGGAGATATTTTACTTTATTTATTTATTTATTAGTTTTATTTATTTATTTTTTGAGACGAAGTTTCGCTCTTGTTACCCAGGCTGGAGTGCAATGGCGCGATCTCGGCTCACCGCAACCTCCGCCTCCTGGGTTCAAGCCATTCTTCTGCCTCAGCCTGCCGAGGAGCTGGGACTACAGGCACGCGCCACTATGCCCAGCTAATTTTTGTATTTTTAGTACAGACGGGGTTTCACCTTGTTGACCAGGATGGTCTCGATCTCTTGACCTCGTGATCCACCTGCTTCGACCTCCCAAAGTGCTGGATTATAGGCGTGAGCCACCATGCCCGGCTTATTTTTTTGTTTTTTGAGATAGAATGTCGCTCTGTCACCCAAGCTGGAGTTCAGTGGAGCACTCTCGGCTCACTGCAACCTCCACTTCCCAGGTTCAAGTGGTTCTCCTGCCTCAGCCTCCTGAGTAATCTGGGATTACAGGCACATGCTGCCTCGCCCAGCTAAGTTTTGTATTTTTAGTAGAGACAGGGTTTCACCATGTTGGTGAGGCTGGCCTCGAACTCTTGACCTTGTGATCCGCTTGTCTCGGCCTCCCAAAGTGCTGGGATTACGGGTGTGAGCCACCACTCCTGGCCTGGAGGAGATACTTTCATTATCTACTATCTCATGTCTCTCCATCATAATTTAATAATATAGGAAGAGTTATTATTTCCATTTTGCAAAGGAGAAAACAAAAGTATAAGGAAGGAACTGGTTTGCCCAAGAGTTCCAGTGTCAGTTAATTGACCACCTGGCACTGGTGGAAAGAGCCCAGGTCTCTCGGTCCTCACTCAGATGGTTTTCTTTATGCCATGCAATCTTCTGACTCAGCCTAGGAAAGCTGCAGCTGTTTGTCGGGCTTTATTCCACTTTCCCCTTTGGTTTGTTTAAAGGTAATATTGCAGATCCTCTCTACTTCCTTAAAGTATTTAGTCACTTATCTATACCTGTCACCTTGTTCAGACCTCTATCATTGTGTTTAACATATTGTTTTATAATTATCTATTTATAGATCTGATTCCCTATTAAATTATAAGCACTTCGATGGCAGGGACGGTGTCTTTTTTTTTTTTTTTTCTTTTCTTTTTCTTTTTCTGCTTTTTCTTTTTTTCTTTTTCTTTTTTTTTTCTTTTTCTTTTTTTTCTTTTCCTTTTTTTTCTTTTTTCTTTTTCTTTTGAGACGGAGTTTCGCTCTTGTTGCCCAGGCTGGAGTGCAATGGCGCGATCTCAGCTCACCGCAACCTCCGCCTCCTGGGTTCAGGCAATTCTCCTGCCTCAGCCTCCTGAGTAGCTGGGATTACAGGCACGCACCACCATGCCCAGCTAATTTTTTGTATTTTTAGTAGAGACGGGGTTTCACCATTTTGACCAGGATGGTCTCGATCTCTTGACCTCGTGATCCACCCGCCTAGGCCTCCCAAAGTGCTGGGATTACAGGCGTGAGCCACCGCGCCCAGCAGGGACGGTGTCTTAATCGACTTTGTCCCTGCAGTGTCTAGCCCATTTTCTGACACACAGTGGGCACTCTAAATGTTTGTTGCATGAAACAAGAATGAATGAGCCCTTACATGTCCAGTTATTCTCTATGTATAAACTACTTAATTAGCACCATTGACACCCCAAAAACCTGAAATAAAATATTCTTTTCCAATGCTCTGAAAGAAGGTTTCTCAGATTTCTGAGATGTTAACACTGAGAAATGTCTGAATTATTGCAGTTCCTAATTGAGGACACCTAAGAGGATATGGTACTCTGGTAAAGGTAAGTAAAGAGAGGCAAGGTGTCTCAATGGATTAGTTCATGTTTATGGCTAGTTTTTTTTTTTTTTTTTTTTTTTTTTGAGACAGAGTCTCACTCCGTCACCAGGTGCCAGGCTGGAGTGCAGTGGCGTGACCTCGGCTCACTGCAACCTCCACCTCCCAGGTTCAAGCAATTCTCCTGCCTCAGCCTTCCCAGTAGCTGGGACTACAGGCATGCGCCACCATGCCCGGCTAATTTTTTTTTTGTATTTTTAGTAGAAATGGGGTTTCACCATGTTGCCAGAATGGTCTTTTTTTTTTTTTTTTTTTTGAGACGGAGTTTCACTCTTGTCACCCAGGCTGGGGTACAATGGCGCGATCTCGGCTCACCGCAACCTCCGCCTCCCGGGTTCAGGCAATTCTCCTGCCTCAGCCTCCTGAGTAGCTGGGATTACAGGCACGCGCCACCATGCCCAGCTAATTTTTTTTTTTTTTTTTTTTTTTGAGACGGAGTTTCGCCCTTGTTACCCAGGCTGGAGTGCAATGGCGCGATCTCAGCTCACCGCAACCTCCGCCTCCTGGGCTCAGGCAATTCTCCTGCCTCAGCCTCCTGAGTAGCTGGGATTACAGGCACGTGCCACCATGCCCAGCTAATTTTTTGCACTTTTAGTAGAGACGGGGTTTCACCATGTTGACCAGGATGGTCTCGATCTCTCGACCTTGTGATCCACCCGCCTCGGCCTCCCAAAGTGCTGGGATTACAGGCTTGAGCCACCGCGCCCGGCGCCCAGCTAATTTTTTGTATTTTTAGTAGAGACGGGGTTTCACCATGTTGACCAGCATGGTCTCGATCTCTTGACCTCGTGATCCACCCGCCTCGGCCTCCCAAAGTGCTGGGATTACAGGCTTGAGCCACCGCGCCCGGCCCCCAACCAGAATGGTCTTGATCTCTTGACCTCGTGATCTGCCCACCTCGGCCTCCCAAAGTGCTGGGATTACAGGTGTGAGCCACCGCGCCCGGCTATGGCTAGTTTTGTTGAGTCAGGGACAGAGGTGCATTCCTGAGCCTTTCAGTCACGTATCCACTGGTGACCACTTTTGTTGTAACCATTTTTTTTTTTTTTTTTTTTTTTTTTTTTTTGAGGTGAAGTCTTGCTCTGTTACCCAGGCTGGAGTGCAATGGCGCCATCTCAGCTCACTGCAACCTCCACCTCTTGGGTTCAGGCAATTCTCCTGCCTCAGCCTCCCGAGTAGCTGGGATTACAGGCACGTACCACCATGCCCGGCTAATTTTTGTATTTTTAGTAGTGATGGAGTTTCACCATGTTGGCCAGGCTGGTCTTAAACTCCTGACCTCAAGTGATCTGCCTGCCTCGGCCTCCCAAAGTACTGGGATTACAGGTGTGAGCCACCACGCCCAGCTGTTGTAACCATTTTTAAAAGCGAATACCATCATCCCTGTGGAGAGAATTTATACTAGCTGCAGTCTGCTTTTGTCATATCCTCTCTATGTCTGCACTCCTCAAGTCGATGGTAGGAATTAAACCTATTGGTCCTCTGAAGAAGAGTGATAGCATCCACCTAGTCATAAGGAGGTTCTGTGGGAGGGAGCTGGGCAGGTATTGTAGGAAAAGATGTCAAGGAACCCACAGGAGTCACAGCGCTATATGCCTGTGGGGTGGGTGGGTAAGGACAAGGAAGCTGCTCCTGGATTGAGTAAACACCTCAGGATCATAAGCATGGTAAAAAACGGATTAGGCCGGGCGCGGTGGCTCAAGCCTGTAATCCCAGCACTTTGGGAGGCCGAGGCGGGTGGATCACAAGGTCAAGAGATCGAGACCATCCTGGTCAACATGGTGAAACCCCGTCTCTACTAAAAATACAAAAAATTAGCTGGGCGTGGTGGCGGGTGCCTGTAATCCCAGCTACTCAGGAGGCTGAGGCAGAATTGCCTGAACCCAGGAGGCGGAGGTTGCGGTGAGCCGAGATCGCGCCATTGCACTCCAGCCTGAGTAACAAGAGCGACACTCCGTCTCAAAAAAAAAAAAAAAAAAAAAAACGGATTAATACATTTGTCTTTTACTTTGAAGCTTGTGGATTCCTTCCCTTCCAAGAGAAGAAAATCCTCCTTCTCATTTATGTCAATTATAATTTAACCTTTAGGTGTGTGGTCCCAAGCAGCACATTACTGGCAAAAGGCAACTCAGCTCATCATTTAGAACTTGACAGCTCCTTTAGATGTTCCATCATTCACAGTAGGTATGTTGTGTACAAACTGAGGCATAAGGTGAAAAAGAAGCTTGAGACAGAACAAAAGAGAACAAGCTCCCAGTGTCCCCTCTGACTCGTAGCTGCTGGCTGATGGAAATTGAAAATGAATTTGATCCCAGAAGACATTTATTTAAGGCTCTCACTGGTATGTAGCAGATGAAAGCCCTAAGGGATGCGTTACAAGTACAAACTTCTCAGGAAAGCGCTCTCCCACAGTCCGCTTGCAGAGACAGCTCTCCCTCCCTCACCTCCCTCTCTGTGTTAATGTTATTTGTATTCAAGCTAGTTGCCCCTTTCCCTCTCTCACAGCCAGTGCCCAGCAATGAAGTGAATTCATGGCACAGGAGCCAGGGACCGTGAGGAGGATGCCCTCAGCAGCCTGGTGTGCTCTGGCCATTTGCTGTCATGGCTACAAAGTGCTCTCTCGTTCCAGTGCCTCCAGGAAGCCTGCCCGGGGTGAGATTCTGCCCTCCAGGAGCTTCGGCGCCCTGTCTGGTTTGGATTCATCTAAATAAATGTGTGACTCCCCAGTGCCTAAGTGTTCCTGTATTTCACGCTTTCTATGAAACATTTGGAAAGCTGCCGTCCTTTAGCCAGGCTGTAAAGAACCCCACCCTAAGGCTTCCCTATCTATTCTTCCCACATCCACATTCGCTTCCACAGAAGTTTCTAATGCTGTCCTTTTCCCTAGACATCTATGACAGAACCGAATTCAACTCTCCACAGTACCAAGTGCTGGAAAGAGATGCCAAAGGTGACTTACTCTCTGCCTCTATGGGCTTTCCAATTTAAGTAGGGATGACAGGACGCACATCCACTGCAGAGAGGCAAACAGCGGAACACTAATATGCATATAGCTAACTAAAGACAGAGCCCCAAGATCTGAGGGCCGTACTGATACTCAAGAAATTGGAGGGCTGGGCACTGTGGCTCACACCTGTAATCCCAGCACTTTGGGAGGCTAAGGTGAGTAGACCACTTGAGGTCAGGAGTTCAAGACCAGCCCGGCCAATGTGGTGAAACCCTGTGTCTACTAAAAATACAAAAATTAAGCTGGGCGCGGTGGCTCAAGCCTGTAATCCCAGCACTTTGGGAGGCCAAGGCGGGTGGATCACGAGGTCGAGAGATCGAGACCATCCTGGTCAACATGGTGAAACCCCGTCTCTACTAAAAATATAAAAAATTAGCTGGGCATGGTGGCGTGTGCCTGTAATCCCAGCTACTCAGGAGGCTGAGGCAGGAGAATTGCCTGAACCCAGGAGGCGGAGGTTGCGGTGAGCCGAGATCGTGCCATTGCACTCCAGCCTGGGTAACAAGAGCGAAACTCCTTCTCAAAAAAAAAAAAAAAAAAAAAAAAAAAAATACAAAAATTAGGCTGGGCGCAGTGGCTCACACTTGTAATCCCAGCACTTTGGGAGGCCAAGGTGGGCAAATCACTTGAGGTCAAGAGTTCAAACCCAGCCTGGCCAACATGGTGAAACCCTGTCTCTATTAAAAATACAAAAAAAGTGAACAAGCATGGTGGCAGATGCTTGTAATCCCAGCTACTTGGGAGGCTGAGGCAGGAGAATCCCTTGAACCCAGGAGGCAGAGGTTACAGTGAGCCAAGATCATGCCTCTGCACTCCAGCTTGGGCAACATAATGAGACTCTGTCTCAAAAAAAAAAAAAAAAAAAAGAAACGAAAAGAAATTGGAGCAGAGCCACATTAAGCCCTGGGGAAAGAATAAAGGTGAGGTTCCCTTGATTAGCTTTGTTTTCGTTCTGATGACAAATAAGATGTTGAAGGTGTTCTGTAATAGAATCTGCAGAAGATGATAACCATTCCTCCTATTTTGCATGAGCGCGGTGCTCCTCTCATCAAGAGTTAGAGACTATTTCCCCTGCCCTTGAATCATGTGACTGGCTTTGACCAAAGAATGTAGCAGAAGTGATGTGGCGCTGGTCCTGGCCGGGGCCTGAAGAGGTACCAGAGTTTCTGCTTTTCCTCTTAGAAGACAGCTCCCGGCTGGCACAGTGACTCATGCTTGTAATCAGCACTTTGTGAGGCTGAGGTGGGCGGATCACGAGGTCAGGAGATCAAGACCATCTGGGCGAACATGGTGAAACCCTGTCTCTACTAAAAATACAAAAAAAAATTAGCTGGGCGTGATGGCGCATGCCTGTAATCCCAGCTACTTGGGAGGCTGAAGCAGGAGAATTGCTTGAACCCAGGGGGCAGAGATTGCAGTGAACCATGATCACACCACTGAACTACAGACTGGGCGACAGTGCGAGATTCCGTTTAAAAAAAAAAAAAAAAAGAAGTTAGCTCCCATTTAAAGGATCTCAGGCTAGATTACTAAATTATGAGAGGCCACTTGGAGGACAACCAAGCATCCCAGCTGAGAGCCAACACCATGGCCCTGGACACATGTGGCCACCTTGGACCCTACAGCCCCAGTTAAGCCCAATCAACACCTTGTAGAGTAGAGACAAGTCATCCCTGCAGAGCCCTGTCCAAATTGTAAAATCATGAGCAAATCAATAGGGGCTGTTGTATCAAGCCACTAAATTTTGAAATGGTTTGTTACTCGGCTGGGCGTGGTGGCTCAAGCCTGTAATCCCAGCACTTTGGGAGGCCGAGGCGGGCGGATCACCAGGTCAAGAGATGGAGACCATCCTGGCCAACATGGTGAAACCCTGTCTCTACTAAAAATACAAAAATTAGCTGGGTGTGGCGGCATGTGCCTGTAGTCCCAGCTACTTGGGAGGCTGAGGCAGGAGAATTGCTTGAACCCGGAGGCGGAGGTTGCAGTGAGCTGAGATTGTGCCACTGCACTCCAGCTG